AATACACATTAATTTATAAGAAGATTTCTTAAGTCACTTTTTAGCTGACTAGTAATTTATTGAATACACGTCACCAATCTTTAGTTATTTATCTTATCTCTCCCATCTGACTTGAAACACGTGTTGAACATGTAAGAAGATATAATATATTTGAAATCCAAGTAAAATGGTGACAATATAAAATTTCTTAATTAAACATTTTAACATAAATTTTCAATTTTATTTTAGCTAATTATATTATAAATATTATTATAAACCTATTATAATCATAATTTAATATGTGATATATTATATATTTGATTATATTATATATATACACTCTTTTACTTATCACTTTTAAATATACTTTATTATAATTATTCTAGTTAAATAATTTATCATAATATTATAAACTTTTATTTATATAACTTTATGAACCTCTAAAATAATAATAATATAATTATTAACTAATTAATTATCCAATAAAATATAAGAATATAATTGTCTAATAAGAATATACAAATATGAAAAATATTATAAACTGGAAACTAATAAGCTATTCTATTAATTTATAAGGTTTTTTTTAGATATGTGCATTTTGTAAAAGTGTAAAAAGATTTAAAGTTGATTAAAATTTTATTGATGTGATTATGCATTATATAACTTTTCAAAGTATATCATACTATTTTTTGCATTAACAAATTAACGTAGTTCAAGCTGAAAGTGTGTCGATCAGACCCGAAAATTTGGCCAGCATTATGAAAATCAGATACGACGCGTCGCGTAATTATTTTATTTTATACATTTGTAAATGAAAAATAATACCCTATTTTTTCTTTGTTCAATAATGCGATTTCAATTAGAGTTCTCAGTAATCATAATGTGAAAAAAGGGAGTGAGAATTATAGTAATAATGTGTATACAGAAGAATCAAAATAAGAAAAAAAGTACTAAATTTTTAAGTAGATGACGACGCAGAAGCCCTTGAAAAATATCCAGTTAAATAGCTAGTAAGCCCAAGTGCTTGAGTTTGTTGTCTTCGAAATTCTCGATCTTGTGATAATCTATCATTATTAGAGGAGCCATAGGTATCTGCGTTATCATTCTCGCGTGCCACGCTTTCAAAATCTCGTTCACCATCTTCAACGTCAGAATGCAGAGATGCGTTTTTATTACGGTTATTATTTACCTTAGTTTGGCGCCGTCGAACCCTTCCTCCTCCTGCACTATTATTTATGATGCTGCCGCTGCTGTAGTAATCATCGGGAACAAAGGTTCGTGTTGGCGGTGCGGTTGAGTAAAAAGTGGATGATGGTGTTGCAGCAGCAGAAGACGAAGATGGTGACGAATTAGCGCGTTCTTCTCGTTGTTGAATTTCTTGTTCAACCTGATCAAGGTTGTGTAGCATCATTTCCAATTGCTTACGCTGTTCTTGTAGATATGCTTGTTGTTCACTGACTGACGCATCGAACACATCATCGGGCAATATCGTGTTTACCGGATGTGCTGAATATATTGTGGGTGATGGTGGCTCATGATTGTTTGCGTCATTCGACTGCTGTTGTAGAGATGATAATGCTGAAGTGTAAAAAAGTGATATTAGATTGTATGATATTGCGCGCCCTTGTTGTAAATATCCATTTAACCCTAAACTTTGATTATTTGTTTCACTGGAATTATTATTGTTATTGTCATGCTCTTCTATATAATATGGAGAAATTGATTCACCGGATTGTAATCTATTTCTATCGTTCGCTCTATTTATTCCCTAAAATAGATATAATATTATTATGATGATCGTAAAAAAATATCAGTCATAATGTAATATAATAAATTAATCAACCTTTTGATATCCCTCTATCCATGCTTGCTGTAATGTTTGCATCCCTCTTTTAGCCCAATTCATGCCAGTGGTCTTTGCTCGTTCTCGTGCGATCCATAATGCTGAATCAATTTCCTCTTCATGATCTGTAAAAGTTGGTTTCACTACTGAATTATATAAGAGAATAGCTCCCTATTTAATTTTTAAAATCAAATTAATAATGAATTAAAAAGAAATTTCCCTTACTCCAGAAGAATTCATAAAAATAAAAATACCTGCGTTTGTGGCAAAATTAACCATAACACAAAAAACATTTTAAGCTCATAATAAAACGGAAACCTACATAATATACAATGTTATTTTAGCAAAAGATAAAAGTAAAATATCATTAAAACGATATATGATAGATATTATACCAAAATATAAATTTGTCAGTAATGCCCTCTGCTATTGTAAGCAACGATAAAACCGTCCAGTACATCAGCCATTGAGTGGTTTTTGCTACATCGTTCGTTTTTAACGTTTTGTAAGAGGCATACGCAGGATATAGAAACCCTACGGAATTGCTGTTAAAAAAACACGAAGGCCTGAGGTCACAACTCACAGAAAAGAACTTTCAGCTGATCAAACGTAAAGAAAAAATCAAACCAAACAATTTTGGAGAGCAAGTATCCAAGCATCCCAGCAAAATAAAACGGTATGTACTAAATATTAAAATTTAAAATTTCAATTTCATTTAGGTTTACGTGTCTCGTGATTGCGTCATTGACAAATTGTATAATTCGGAGAAACCTCTCCGAAAAATAATTTGTTTTACTATTCTTACATTTTTCTTCTTACTTTTTATAACACCCAAATTGTTTACTCTAAAAAAATGAATCCTGTGAATTCGTCTGATGAAGAGGTTATTACGAGACGTCAGCCCGTGAAAATTAAACCACGCATGTTACCATCAAAGTCGCGACGCGTCATGTCGAATCCGGACAACGCATCAAGCATCCAAGAGTCCCCTTCTACTCAAGAGCCCTCTTCGGACACTGCAAAAATACCCATAATATTAAACTGCTTTGAGGATGATGAGGAAGATGGTTTTTTCACGAGGAAACCTGTATTCACGAGGAAATCATCCTCAAGGAAGACAAGTACATTTTTATTTTCGCGGCCGCTAATACAAAGAAAAACAAAAAACGATAAATTATAAGATACGAAATTTTTTGCTCGTTAATATAATGTAGCTCCTAAAAATTCACTATCACAGTTCGACAAGAATATCCACGATGGTGAGAATGACAACAGTGATTATGAACCTCCACGTAAAAAGCGTGATAACAAAAAGAAACGTAAAAAGTTGGATTTTATCGAGCTGAGTGATTCGAATAAAGATGATAATGAAGATAGCGAACTATATTCTTATTCGTGCGTGAGCTGTATAAATTTATATTTGCCAGTTTATTGTGCTATTACTATTGTTTTTAATAAGTAATTTGATCAAAACAGTGATACGTCAGATGAATTGGCTTCTTACTTTGGGAAACCAAAGAATAAAAAACGAGAAGCAAAAAATACATTGAGTGAACCGATCGAACGAGAATTAACACCACCTCCGGAACTCGACAGAGTTCAATTCATGTCTACAATGAACTCTTTACAGTAATCCTTCTTTTTTCCTTCTCATTTTATTATAATTTTCACAAAATTCTTTAAATGTTTTTCAATTATTATATTTTTATTATTTCTGCAGTCAAACACTTAATCAATATTCAGAAGGTATTCTTGCAATGAATTCAGTGGACCTGAGTATATTGGAATCGAGAACACCTCTGGAAATAGATTTAGATCCTGAACTTCGCGCCATTTCACAAAAGACTGTACTTCAAGTTAATTCAGAACGACCATTCATAGACAGATCAACCTCTTATAAAGTTGAAATATATGTACGTGCTATTAGTCACCCTTCAGATATCATCACTGAGGAAAATCGTGCGAGATATGACGATTTTGAGAAGCCAATGAAATTTATATTGATGGCAGTAAGTACGCTATATCCTACAACATACGAAAATCTATCTGGAAAAACTAATTTATTTCTTTGTTAATAATTAACCTAGAATGATACCTTTGAGCAAATGATAAATTATTTTTGTCAAAAGAAATCAATTGCTAAAGATGATTTAGTCATCACATACAAAAATATTAAAGTGTTTCCTCGAGGCACACCCATTAGTCTAGGAATCACCAAAGATGCAATTATGGGTTAGTAATTTATTATGATATTATTTATTATATGTATTTGACTCATGATGTATCTTCTTGGTGATATTTAGATGCATTTACCAAGGACACACATAGCTTCTTCCGACAGCAAAAAGAACTCGAACAAGAACGAAAGATGAAAGCACTTGAACAAAAATTTATCGAGGAGGAAAGGAAGGAAAATGAAATTGAATTCGTCGGTTCGAGTAGTCAAAGTTATTTGCATCTGAAATTACAAAGTAAAGATGAATTGATTGAAAAACTCAAAGCTAAAAAGGTACGGGATATTATAATTTTGATATTGCTTTCGAAAAGTAAAGTTACTTAAACTGATTTTAAATAATTATTGCAGACATCAACTATTCAGGCTATAATCAACAGGTATCGAACACTTCGAAATTTACCAGAATCCGCTATCGTGATATTAATGTCTCAAGGAGAAAATCTAGATCCTAATATGTTCGTGGGAGATACCGAATTAGAGGATGGCGATATGATAACAGTCAAGATTAATTAAAAGCAATTGTATATAGTATTGGAATTTCAATAATAATGATTTAATCAACCAAATTATGTGCATAAATTTTATCATTGCATTCCTCTAAAGGAATAGAATCAAATTGGTTTATATAATATAGTTTACGAACAGAGATAATATCGATATATTAATGGTTTGAAAAGCTTGATTAATTGAATATTCGTAATGATAATATAGAAGTTCAAGATCTTTTCAATATAAGAATCAAAATGCTTATCGATTCGATAAAAAAAAATCGGAGCCAAATTATTTTATTAAACCCAGACAAAGGTTGAGACTAAGGGTGTCAATTAATTAAACTTCAACAATGTGACAAATTGTCTAAATAAAGTCTAAATTTTAAATGTCACAATATTAATATTGTTACCATTTTGATTGATTTTTGAAATACTCAAAGGTATTTATAAAATTTAAGGAATATTCAAAGGGAAACTTCCAATGTCTTAATGACAATTCAAAGTATTAACAATACATTATGACTATTAGACTGAATGTGAATAGGTACTAAAAGTACTAATAATAGAATTACTTAAAGGTTGATAATAGTTGTGTTCTTTTAAAACGCAATAATCTGAACTACTAAAAAGAGTTCTCAAAATTTTGAAGTCAAAATTATAGAGATTATAATATTCATATTATTAGCAATACAAAATCAAAGATGAATTATGTATTATTAGCAATACAAAGTCAAAAATAAGTTTATGAGCAATGTATTATTAGCAATATAATCTCAAAGACAGATTTATGAATTATAATAATAATTTCTTTATTTAATATAATATTTAATAGATTTCATTACAATGTGTTCAGAAAGTCTAGAATAAAGATGATAACTTTTATAACACTCCTGATAATACTGCTTAAGCTACTATAATATATGTTGATTCAAGATCTGTATAACTTCTTATAAAGCTATTATACAAGAAATAATAATACTTTGTCAAAAGAGTGTAGAGAGGAGTTTGCGCTTGACTATCTACTCTATATAAAGTGCAAACTACTTTTCTTTGAATGATCAAAACTATGTGATAACTAATTAGATATGATAACTAAGAATTACCATCTAAAAGGACTTGTTCATATCTTATTTCTAATAACTACGATATATGTTACTTTTATACAAATTCAAAATACAATTTCTAGGCTATACGAATTCATGTTCACTATATTACTTAAATTTTATTGGTTCAATATTTGTTCGCTCATTCATTCACTCGTTTGTTTAGTTATTTGTTTATTCACTCACTCGCTTGTTCACTCACTTCACATGATTTGATTTTTATCTAATAAGATATGAGATATGTATAATTCAATAACATATAATATTATGATAAAAGATCATTATATAATAGTTATCAAAGCTTTCCCAAAATACTAATCAATGATAGCTATATAAAAATGCAAATAAAAATAAAATAACATAATATCTTCCTGGCATCTTTCAAAAATCTTAAAAATAATAATGCAAATAAATAAATAATAATGCAAATAATAAATATGAATATAATATGAATAATAAAAATATGAATAATAGTTTCTTGTTAAAATAATATGATTAAAAGATCAAAATAATATAAGTCATAACCAATTTTTATTATTAAAGAACATTTTGTAAGATAATATTTAATTTTGATAACTTGATGATAATTCTAAGTTAAGATATATGCTGCTTATATATCTATTTTTATCTCAAAAAGAACCAATTAAAATCTAACACATTCTTATATATTATGAGTAACACACAATATTACTCCAATTTGCCAAGTATTACACATTTAAATCTAGTACCAACATATGTTAAAATACTAAAATACTATTGGTACTTCTTTGCTATTATACAAATAAAACTAATTAAACATGAAATAAACTTAATATAGCATAAGGTAATATCAATATAACACAAAAAAAATTAAATAACTGAGAAGAACCAATTAAAATATAGAAATAAAACACATGCTAAATCTTAATAAAATAATTTATATTAAGCATATATTATGATATAAATCTAATTTATAATAAAGAATCAATTAAAATAACTTAATAAAAATCAATTAGATTCTTAATAATTATTGTTCTTTGTCAAATACTATTGTTACAATTATTTTTAATAATTCCGTAATTAACGAATCTTTTAAAAATAATAGAAAATAT